AAGTCATAGTCCAAGTCTAAGTCCAAGTCATAGTCCAAGTCTAAGTCTAAGTCCAAGTCATAGTCCAAATCCAAGTCAAAGTCATAGTTCAAGTCTAAGTCTGAGCCCAAGTCTAAGTCTTAGTCTAAGTCTTAGTCTAAGTCTAAGTCTAGCTTGAACTGGGCTGTGTACAGTAAATGGAGCAGGAAACCTCCCAGTTCACACCTTAGTGCCTCCAGCATTAGCTTAGCGACCCCCCCCTCCCCCCCGTGTGGTCATGAATCTGAATAAAATCCGATAAAAATAAGACACACAGACTGTTGTGCGTGAGCTTGACCTTTAACTCCGCCCCCCCCAAAAGCACACGCAGCCATCCAGAGACGCCTGATCTTGGGGACAGAAATGGTTTTCACGTTTCCACATGAAAAACCATGAGGGGGGAAAAACCATTCCCCACCAGAAGAAAAAAAAACCCGAAATATTTGTACTGCTTCTCTGAAAAGGTGGATCAATAATTCAGCACGGCGAACTGGACGGGGACGCTGGGGGGGGGGTGTAGGAGCCATTTATCCTTTTCTGTGTTTATGGCCACCAGGGGGCGTGTTTCATTTTGAGTTGTGTGTGTCTAATGGGGGATGGGTTATTTGAGGTCTACCGTGATTGTGTTCAGGTGTTGTTGATAAGAAGGGGCAACAGTTTTCTACTGTGTTTTAGGTTGAGGTTCGATGTCAGAATGTAGGTGAATTGCAATGGAAATAGCAACGATGGACATTATGCAAACAATAAACGACTTTATTATAAATCAAAATAAAGACTGGCATCCGGAATTCTTAATAGATGCACACGTAAGACCAACGCCTTCAACCATCAACAACCAGTAGCCTAAAATACAGGATTTTAGCCGCTACAGGGGGGTTTGTTTGCTTTGGACCAACAGAATTAGAGGTTTCTGAGGGGTGAGGGTGGGAAAAAGGGGTGGGGGGGGGGCACATCCTTTGAAATTAAAGCATCCACCCCTGACACGACTCTCTGAGAGATTAAAGCGGGCCGTTTGACATGTGCTGGAGTTTATTAAATAATCTTTTGTTTTTTCCCTTCGGGCTCCGTCCGCCTGACAGATACAATCAACGAGAGGAACCAGAGCAGGTTTCCTTCTGGGGGTTTCCTCGACCTGTGGATATTATTGTGACCCGTTTTTTATCCGTTTTCCACCTTTTATTGGGCCGGTGATTCCACCTTTGACCGGTTCATGTCAAAGATAAATTTAACAACGTGTGGAGCCTCAAAAGAGACGAATGTGAACCAGTTGGAGTGCTTTCACAAATATATCTGGCTGCAGACTGCAGGAAGACAAGGATGGATATCCAAATCCCCCGCATCCAAGTCCGCCATTTTGATTAGGTCACCAATAGGAAGATCCCACGCAAGAAAATCCTAATAGCTTCATGGCAATATAGACATTCATTTAAAAATAGTGAAATGAATCTTGAAAACACTGAATTAAACTTTATCCATATTATTATGTTAAAATAGGGGATGTTAAATAGGTTTGTACAATAAGTCCAAACAAGTTTAACCCAAAAATATTTATTTAGCACAATTATGAAAGCTGGAGGGTTAGGGTCAGGGTTAGAGTTAGGGTCAGGGTTAGGTTCAGGGTTATGTTTTAGGACAGTTTGTCTTCCGATTTCGTACAGACAGTAAAGTTTCGTTTCCACCTCAGAAAGCTGCTAGTCACATGACCTAATCAAAATGGCCGACTTGGATATGGGAGGAGTTGGACATCCGACCGAGGCTCCTACAGGTCATCATCCAGCAGAAGAAGCTGCTCTGAGTAAAACAGAATTAAGCAGAAACCTGAAAACGAATGAACACCTGAGCGCCGCAATGTGTTGAACACACACACACACACACACGCACACACACACACACACACACACACACACACACACACACACACAGAGGAAACATGCTTCTGCAGCATGTCAGAGCATCCATTTTTAATCCCCAAACGTGTCAAAGTTGCCACAAACTGACACGACGTAAACAAACTAGTGGAGATCCTCCTCTGGAAATGTCTCACACACACACACAAACACACACACACACACACACACACACACACACACACTCACACACACACACACACACACACACACACACCCCTGGCTGCCTCTGGATGTCTGATCTGGAGGTAAAAGCCGCCGGCGGATCGGAGAAAAGCTGTTGATCACATTTTAATCTGCAGCTAATTAACTAAATGCCAAACAAGAAGAGTCCAATACAGAAAAGTGGGGGGGTAACCCCCCCCCCCCTAAAAGTTTCTGTGAGCCTGGGAACGCTCCCTTTTTCTCATGGTAAATTTTGTTGAATGTTTTTCTGATAAAGAAGGTAAAAAGGCAGCTGTCAGTTATTTCTGTTCTCTCCAAAACTCCAACTTTCTTCTATTAATCTGATTTTCTTCATTGATATTAATAATTTATTACTGTGCGATAAATCCAGATTATTTTTTGTGTAGTCTTCTGCCCCCTGTTATCAGGTGTATCTGATTGTTTACAATAGGATTTTGAGCAAAGTTTTTACCATTAAATTATGCAAAAGGTGTCAAACGCAAAACATTTCAGAAACCGTATGAATCAAATATGATACAAAAGGCGATCGAGCCTTTAGTGTTGACGCCCCAAAGCTCTGGAATATTCTGCCTTTTAATATAAGATCTGCCCGGACTGTAGAGGTGTTTAATCCTCTTTAAAAACTCATTTATTTGAACTGGCTTTTAACATTTTAACCTTAGGTTGAGGTAGAGCACCTTTTTACCTCTTTATTTGACATTAAAATCACATATATGTATGTAAAATTATGTTCGCTTTTTGTGTTTATTTTTACTTGTACAGCACTTTGGCAACTTGGGTTGTTTTAAATGTGCTCTATAAATAAAATGTGACTTGACTTTCTGCCCCCGGACTGCAGGTGGAAGCTGCTTAGCTCCGCATGGCTGCGCCTCGTCCGTCTTACTATTGTTTCCCCCGTAATGGG